ATTTTTTATTTACAAAAATATTCAATTTTTTATTAACGATAAATTAAAATATTCGTGTTAGAAACATTTTTTTGTTAGACCACTGGAAATGTTTCGAAAACTGACGATCTTCACACTGATATCCCTCTAAAATAATATTACAGAAGATTAATATAAAAATTTTATTATATATGAACCATTATAGCTTTTATGGCAAAGGAATTTCAAGTAATCGAGAAATAATATGGGCCCATGTTACAAGATATTTTGAAGGAGCTACCTCCAAGTTCTTACATCAAGTATTTTCCATTATGGTCCAACAGGCCGCTAAAAGCATAGGCACAACACATCTTGCTGGTAAGTATCATATAAACACGGCAACACAAAATTTTCTAGGAAAGCTTAATTAACACTTTTTATATTTCAGACGTTATAGAATATCTTCATGATATTAAAATTCCTTATATACGAGACAATGTTACTGACAAATTTCTTCCAAGATTTTCTTACAGAGATGGAAATGTACAAATTATTGATGAAGATGGGGGCCAGAAATGATAAAAATTAAAAATATTTAAACACACCATTTATTAAATGTCAAATATTTCGAACAGCACGTTACTTAAAAATGATGCATCTATTGAAATTCATGACAAAAATCATTTCATATTTACATTTATTTAGAAAAAGAAATTGTTACAATTCAGGTGTCCAATATATATCAGAAATGTAATTCACACCAACTTTTCAATAACATAAAACTTTAAACATTATTTTTTTTAGATTCTTTTTCCAATGCCTTTTCCTTTGCTCTTTGATACAAGGGTACAAGTTTCCCATCTTTAGCAAGCATTTTAAGTAATTCCATAATCAATGGGAGATAATTATGTTTCCTTCTAATATTCTCCACCTGATATCTTTTAGATTTCCGTATTTCCTTCTCTATCAGTGCTTGTAAGCATTCTAGCTCGGCTGGATCGCAAATATTAGCTTTTTGTCGTTCGTACAATGTTTTTCTATCGGTTACTATTGCCATTAAGTTGAAATGAATTTCTCCCTCGTTATATCTGCAAAAAAATAATTCGTACATGCAAAAAATTAAAGCATTTTGAAAAACTAAAATACGTACTTATTTATTCGCTTTTGTATTATAGGCTTAGCTGCTTGAACCCATTGATCTCCAAGTGGACATGGACCTAGATCCATTGGTCCATCTTTTAGTCCATCTAACTCATATAGTCGACCATCAATTGGAATGTAACTAACAAAGTGAAATACATCATCATCTTTAGATGCTTTCCTTGAGTCATATTCAAACAATGTTTGCCTATAATAAATAATATCTATTTTATACAATATATTATTTTGTATTATAATTAATATACAAAATAATTCTTAGAAACTGACCAATTCAGATATAAACGGTGCCCTAATTTAGAGGAAACTCTTAATTCTTTTCCATAGTCATTACATTTATCATGCTATATGAAATACCTAAATTCATTTGCTCATTCAATGCTCATTTTTGGCATTACCATGTCCAAAAAAATACCGAACTGATATCGAGATAAACTTTTGATCATACATATATACAGAGACAACTGAAAGTACAACAATGAAAAACCGTTTCAGATCGAAACTGTTTGTTGTTGAGAGAGAAGCAATTTGAGAATTAACTTCTTATTACAATAAGTTATTCATAAGTTGTATCTCAATATTACATGATTATGCGGGGTATATCCGAATAACATTACAAGTGGATATAGATTGATTTCTTATGAGAAATTAAAAAACAAAATAAAATTTCTTTATCACAGACATCATTTTCGAAATCGTTTAAAAATTCATATCATTAAAATTCAATATTTACATACATCTTAAAATTATTCAAGAAAGAACATAAAATATTCAGTAATTATCAATTATCCTTTTATATAGTTTTACATAACCTTGACAATAAAAGTTAAAGAGCCTTGCTTACGATTGAAACTAGTATTATACATCGTACGTAAATATTAGCAATAGACGTTGAAAGAAACAGATGTTCGAATCCCATTTTCTTAAAAACGAAGTTTCCATTACTTTATTAATTTCTTCATAAGGACTCAACCTATGTCCACTTACACATGTATAATTCATATAATACTGTATTTTGGAAATAAACATATTATTTTCTAGAAAAATGATAGCTACATTTTTTTATTTGGCATGATCCAACACAACAATGAATGAACTATCAGACATACAGTAAAAAAGTACAGGATTCCTTTTTTGAAACGATTACATGTCTTTAAAATCACATAAATGTGTCCATCTACATCACCACCACGTACATGAAAAGAATACCCTCTGAATTTTGAAAACTACCTATAATTGGTCACTTTATAGAATTACTATGTATATAATTCATTTATATATAAAAATAACGTATACCTTGAGAAAGAATTATGTACTTCTCTTATTATATCAGAATTACTTAGAGCAAGTCCCCTCATATTAGCATCAAAGCTTTGACAAAAATTTTTGAACTCCTCCAAATTTGGTCCCAATGATATATCGGAATGTTTACAATTTAATAGTACACTTAAAATTGCTTGTGTTGCACATGCATTATTAATTACCTTCAAAAAGAGAAATATTTATACATTTTTTTGTTTTACAAAAATTGACCGGATAATCGGTCCATAATTTTTATTTCGATTTAAATTTTCCACATAATAATTGCCTAACAATTATGTCTCGTATATTACAATTATGTCTTTGGCTTTTTCCTGTTATGCGATTGTTTACTTATTCATTCCATGCGAATAATAAAGTGATTAATTTTTTTAAAACTATCAAGTGTCAAATTAACAAGAATTTAAACATGTATTATTTAATTGTACTGCAAAATATGTCGGAGATATTCATTCTTGTTACCTTGATACTCCACAGTTTTCAAAAAATTAATCACTTTATTACTCACATGGAACAAATAAGTAAATAATCGCATAACAGAAGAAAGCCAAAGCTTTCAAATGACCTATAAGACATAATTGTTAGACAATTTTTTATTATGGGTAAAATTTAAATCAAAATTAAAACTGCACAAATGTATGGACCGATCCAATAGTATATCATCATAATACTTACTTGTTTCGCAAAAAAGATTTTATCCAGCCTACTATCTTGGACAATATTACCTGAAGGTTCATCATCTTGAACCCATTTAAATAAGAATATTAGACCATGTATAGGCCTAAAAATGAAAAATAAAAACTATTTTTCCTTTATTTTTATTAAACATATACATGATGCATAATGTTATTATTAACAATTTTAAAAAATATGTAAAAATATGATTAATTATTAGTACAAATTTGATCAAAATTCCTAGCAACAATTAGGTTACTTTACATAAAATAATTTACTCACTTTAAACTGTCAAACTGTTCGTCATCCAAACTCCATAATTCTTCCACCTGTGCACCTTTTACACCTATAACATTGACAGTATTAAACAGATTAGAAATGTGCAAATAAAAAATGGCATAATACACAAGTGTACAAAACAATTATTAATGTAAAAGTTTCTCCCTTAACATAGGGCCGTAAAACTATTTTTGTAACAATACTATATCAGATTTATAATATTTTACCAAATTCCTTAATTAATTCCGTGAAAACGCCAGGATCACTTTCAATAGGACACCAATTGCCCGCTGAGTCCGCCATGTTTTAGTCATCATTTGCTAAACACAAACTCAAGTGTTCATGCTAGAGGGGAAATGAGAGTGCATATTATACAATAATCTCTCAATTCAAGAACCACATGCGGGGGCAATGTAGATCCTGAATTGAAAGCAGATCAAGGAACTGCTTTGATCTGATTGGCTGACGATTCACAGCTGAACGGTGCTGCCCTTACAGTTAAAGACGAAGAGAAAAAATGGTGAGCAAAAAAGAGAGCACGACTCAATGTGAAGTAAGTCACAAAGACAAGAAACCTAGGCCGTATGCCTGGTGCTTCATCTGAAACACGTGGCGCAATATTCGACTTGTACTTATCGCTTCATAGAATTCTCGACCATATCATCCAGCGTATTTGCAAACGATGCTGAATGAACATTGAAAAATATTTCGAATCTTTATAATAGTATTTATATATATATATAAAGTACATATATTTTTGTTTTAGATTCTTTTAAATTGATCCATCCTGGAATAAATCAATTTAATAAACATATATACTTTATTAGAAATGGTTTCTTGCTGCATACTACTATAAAATAAAAAATAACAAATTTTTTCCCATATTAATTTTTAACTTTGATTATTTTCCTTTCCCCTGCGTTATAGTGTATTAAGTACATTTTTTTCGAAATTAGGTTATTTACACCATTATGTTGCTTCATTTAGTTTGTATAATGGTATACATAACTATTTTCAAAAAAATGTACTTAATACATGTTTAATACATACTAGCTCTAGAATCCAGAATTTGAATTACCACTCCTAAACCATCATATTGAATTTTAGTTTGTCCGAGTCTGCAGTCAGCTCAGATGGCAGTCAAAACAGTGACCCAAAAATTTACTAAAAATGGTCCATAGTCTAGTCTAGATTTCCTTTACTTTTTTGCTATCATCCGAATATAACCGCGAACGCATGAAAATGGGTGAAGTGCATATAGTCTCCTCTTACCGCGAATCTCACCCTCCTCTCGACTTTACGCTCCTTAGACCACCTATCTAGCATTCGCTTTCTGTAGATTAAATTCTCTCTTCGATGCTGAAAAAGGTTCTCATCTCCTGTTTAAAATTCGGTGCGCACCATAATGTTGTTTGACGAGTTTTGAATGATCAATTTCTTACACGCACTCGCACTGGGGATAGCATGGACGATCTTTTGTCTCGATTTTTGGATATTCAATTTTGAAATGAATCGATTTTTTTAGTTACGTATCGATTTTCGATTCAAACTCGCCACAATGCCATTAACTATTGTAGAATATACCATACGTCTTCGGTTCATTTATGTACAACATTTACTGTTTCTAAATTCATTGCCTTTAATTGTATGCTTAATAAATGATGATTTGTGTATGTTTCATTTATTGATAATTCTTTATTTCCCAAGTCCTCAATAAATAAATAAATAAATACATCAATCCAATTTAAAAGTTTATATGCAATATCTCATCATGAAATTCTATTGGTATATCGGTAGTGTTATAAATGTTATACACGTAATAATGTGTTACTTTTTTATTGAAGAACTTGATTTTGTAAATCGTTTCTATAGTTGCATAAGAATTAAAGCATTGCATATTAGGTTCGATTTAGAACATCGAGTTCTGCGACAAAGAAATAAGCTATGCAGTATGCGTATGGATATAAATACAGTAATAGGACCTATTCCTGCTCGTTTTTCTTACTCCCTAAGCTGGCCCACATATTCCCACCATTTTACTGCGCATCCAATCCACAGTGGATCTTATCTCAATTGTGAATTATCAGCCAATCAGAACAAAGAAAATTTCTATATTAACCCTCGTTAACGGATCAAGCTGTGACCTACAAGTGTGCAGGAGTAGGATCCATTACTGTAGTATTTCGCCCGATTTTTTAAAATCAATTTTTCACGGTTGAATTTTCTAGTGAATCGATCTTTGTTGCTGCGATTTAAAATCAATTCAAGAATCAATTCTTTTCATAGAATCGCCCATCCTTACTATGCACTTGCCGTGTTTACGTATAGTACGCATAGTCTAACTCCAAGTTCAAGTCCATGAAGAACAGCGACGTTTGAAGATTGATGCGCACGCGCGGGAAAAGTTCGACTGTACTGACGCGCCGCAGCGCGGCGGATCTGTCAGTCGGCGCAGGTTAATTGGAAAATTTGCTGGAAGATGGCGGGGTAGGAACGCGAGCTGCATTTCGCCGCGGACAGTTCGATAAAAATCAGTCGTTCGCAGGGGCTGTTTTGGCGTGGTGTCAGTGCTGTGTGGTTTCTGTGACGAGTTCGCGTGCAGTTCCGCGGTAAATTATCAGTGATCGGTGGGGCGGTAAGTACACGTTCGAATCATCGAAAAGAAATCGGCTCACGTTCTCCGTTTTCGGCGGCGTCCTATGACACCGTGGATTTATCCGACCGCGGCCAGTAAAATCAGCTGTGGAGCCGTGCGTGTTCTGCCCCTGTCGAATGACCTAGAAAAGATTTGGCGGGGATCCTTACAAAATTTTCGGACACCCGACTCGCCGAATCAATCCGACGATTATCGAACGAGCATCCTCGATTAAGGTTAGAACACGTTACTTGCTATAATCTGTGTTCGTAGGGAGGCCCGGAGATTCGGTTTGATTGCACGGTCGTTAGGGGAGACCGCTACCCGAGAATTTAATCGAGTTTACAGAATGCGGCCCGGGGTTCGTCAATTTATTAGCCAATTCGAAGCAAACGGATGTCCTAAAGCGACGAGTTCTCAACAGTTTGAAAGGTTTCTAATCCTCGACGTGCTTTGTACCGTTTCGGGCTGCATCTTTGAACGTTTAATTGAAACGTACTGTGCTGTCCGAACGACTTCTTTTGTCGGTGTACAATATACTTTGGTTGTCGGTTCAATGGTTGTCATTCCATCTATTTATCCGTACAATTCGAACGAGAACGAATCTTGCATTGCTCCAAATAAATGACACGTATAAATTGTTCGTCGAAACACCTTCGGTGCGAAAATGTTCACAGTGCCACCGTGATGTCGTTTGATCGTTCGTTGCCACAGACCGTACCGAATAACAATTGGTGCGGATTCCCGTTCGTAAATTGTCTTTTTACGAAGCAGTACCCGGGTATTCCGTTTGTATCAGAATCGAAGTTACTTCGATCGAGAGATGATATTGAAAAGTAGCGTGTTTAATTTCTTCATCGGGCGTACCAGTGTGAATGAATCACTGCTGTCGCGCTTGACAGCTATTCGTCTCGTTAGACGCGGCGAAGGTTGCCCGACAGCATATTAATTACCTTCTGCAGCTTTTCGTCGTTATAATTCGCCCGCAATCCAACGGTCTCTCGACGCGAACCGTTTCTTCACCGTTATTTACCCGTCGATCGAGCCTCCTCGCCGACCTATAAACGAAATTACCTTTTCGTCAGAAAATGCGACTCGGAACCTCGCCGACTACAACTGTTCCATATCTAGAGCAACATTATTTAGTTGTTCGACAAAAAAAGGGGGATAGAAATAAACGTTCGTTTGAGCCGAGAACGTTCCGATTGTCTTTTGTTCGCTCGACCAACTAATCGATTTGAAGAAACCGCGCGCAAAAGATGGCGTATCAGGATCACGGTAAAACATATTTCCTTCTTGCCAGGGATTAGCATGTTTACAGGTTACGGGATCAAGGACGAGGGGGATGTAGGCGGCAAACTTGCCGAAGCTGTTAATTCATCCCGAGACAAGTGCAACGTCGGGGCGTTGTCTTTCGAAATGCTTTTTACGTTTCCGTCCGAGAAAATCGCCGAACACAAAGGGATCTGTTTCGCGTGTGTGGAGGATGACGCGTGTCTGTCTCTCTGCCATTATTCGCGCGTGTGCGTGTGCGTATGCGTGTACAGCACACGGTTTAATCGATCTCGTGCTGTGGCAACGTTATCACATGCAAGCGAAACGGTATCGTCGCTAGAGTATCGTGGACGCGAGAAAAGACTGCATTATTATCGCAATGAAGGCGGATCATCAAATTCAAGCGAATTAACTCGTCGCCTTTCACTGATTTCTCCTTTCTCGGCTCCAATCGATCTTGTTTCTCTTCCGAAGCAGCTGCAGCTCACAATCGAGATTTGCAAACGTTTCGATTTGCTCTCTTTTACACTTTTTTTTCTCTGGAGTCGCAGAAGCGTCGCGTATTTTTTTCTCTAATTGCCTAGAATCTGGAAACAACGTTTCACCTTATATGATCACCGATAAGATCTCCGAAAATAAGACCGTTGCAACATCAACATTGATCCTTTCATTGCACCTTCCATAATGCAGAGGTTAATCGTTGATTGTTTTATACAGCATTATTTGAAGTGGTTATTTGCAATAAATCAGCATTTTTTAGTTTCCTCTCGACGAAGTTATTCCAATCCAGAAAAATCGTACGCGCAAATGATGGAAAATGGATTAACTGGCTTCTTTGGATCCAGTTGTCCATCGCTAAAATTGATCTTCTTCGTTATATACAGTATTCTCTCTAATAGTTCGTTTAATACTAAGGCTACCATGTCGGTCAAAATGATCGGTTTCATATTTTGTTTATTTTAAGATTGTTGACGTTACGAAGATCTTTTCGTAGAAACTGGTTGAATCGACTTCTCAACTCAATCATACATTGATTACTATGAAACTGACAAAAAGTCTAAATAAATTCGATCTTATCAATCTTATAAAGCAAGTAGTATCCGCTTCCACGATTCTGATGGAATGGCAAAAGAGAGTGCAATTATTTTCGCCAAGTTCACAACTATCATATTACCGATCACCTGTGTTGATCGGTTATAGTCCTAAAAATGCAATACAATGTATACTAGATATACTCTCTCATACAACAACGGAAATAAATAACCTCATTGGTATCTATTGCGATCTTTCTAAATTGAATTTTGAGTAGTTCGTATATATAATCGATAAAAATAATGTTAAGGACATAGTTGAAATGAGGCTCACACGGTGCCATCAGTTTTTGTTATTATTTTTTTTTAAAGATATTAAGATCACCTACATCTTTTAAAGAGAACTTGACACTATCATTAGGAATTCAGTGACTACAATTGTTGAAGGTTATTGAAGGTTACGGACAGAAAAAATGTATAAGATTAAAAATCTTAAAGCAGGAAACGTTTATCACATGTGAGGAGACTAATAACATAATACACCAAATCTTATAACAAAAGTTCATCAGTATTCATCTCTCTAGTTTCGGTATAAAAATATTCGAAAACAAAGTTTTTTTCCAACATACTGAGGTCATCTCGATTTTTTAAATATTGGGTTGGCAACTAAGTAATTGCCGATTTCAGTTATAGATGTCTCTCACTCCCATTTTTATGATATCCGTAAATGTTATATTACAAAATTATTATTATTATTATTATTATTATGTTATTTTTTATTATCCGTGAATGTTAGCAACTGGACAAATTGAATGCAGCGGTCAAGGAAAAGCGACCAGAATTGGTCAATCGTAAAGGTGTCATTTTCCACCAGGACAATGCTAGGCCGCACACGTCTTTGTCCACTCGGCAAAAATTGATGGATATTGGTTGGGAATTGATGTTACACCCACCATATAGCCCTGATCTCGCGCCATTGGATTACCACTTATTTCGATCCCTGGACAACTCCCTTCGTGGTAAAACTTTTAATGACGACGACGCAGTAAAATCTCACTTAACTCAGTTTTTGGCCGAAAAGGATCAGACTTTCTACGAGTGTGGAATTTTCAAGTTGTCAGAGAGAGGCAAAAGGTCATCGAACAAAATGGAAAATACATTACAGATTAAACTTCATTCCCA